TAAGGGTGCTCTACCACTGAGCTACATTCCCAAACCTTTTTCATTTTTATTTTGAGGCAGGGTCTTGCTAAATTGCTGAGGCTGGCATTGAACTTGGGATCCTCCTGCTTCAGCCTCCAAAAGTAGCTGGGATTACAGGTGTGTACCATTATGCTGGTCTTTTTTTTAATAAGAGCACCAATCCTGGCATGAGGGGCCCACTCTCCTGTCCTCATCTAACCCTAAATATTTCCTAAAAACCCTATTTACAAGTTCATTGGGAGTAAGACTTAAACATATGAATTCAGGAGAGAAGGGACATAATTTAGTCCATAGCAATGATCAAACTCGCCACTCATCAGGGAAATGCCAATTAAAGCAATAAGAAGTTATCGTTTCTCTACCATCAAATTGACAATATCTCATGAGAATTGATGATATCATTGTCCTGGCAAGATAACAAGGAATGATCCTTTCTAACAAGGGGGTTGGGGATGTGACTTTGTGATGTTTTTGCAGAAGTCATCAAAGGATTACCATGAAAATACACAAAGCCTTAAACCTTTAATCTTGCAATCCTGTTTCTTGGATTTTATTCTAGAGCAATATTTCTGCTTGTGTGCAGAGTATAGCATGATCATGGATGTGGAAACCAACAAATAGGAATAATCTAAATCCATCAACAGGAGAATCCCAGTAGTAAAATCTCTAATCTCTGATGTGACACAACCAGGCAGTTATTAAAAAGACAGAAAGTCAGCACAGAGTTTATCCTTCGTGCGGAAGTGACTAGAAGGGGGCTCAGGAGTCTTTGGGGGTACCAGACATGATCTCTGCCTTATTTCAGGTGCTGATTACATAAATGAGTGTATCACTTATGCATTTTTATGCACTTCAGTAAAAAAAGTTAAGGAGACTGTGTACTATTTATTTAAATGAGATTCTGATTTTCAAGCTCTTCATTTAAATATGAAGTCTAATACTCTCCTGGGTTCTTGGAGAATATTTCTTAGATAGGGTATTTTTTTTTTTAACCCACACACCTTTGGGAGAAAGAGGAAAAATACCAACAATTTTCTTCGAACAACAACAAAAAAAAATTAAAACCATGTTTACCTTCCAGAAAACAAGAATGTCAATCTAAGTTTTTAAAAATAAGGTTGACACATTGAAAGTAAGATATCTTATCAGAATTGAAGACTTCTAAGAGTTTGGGAGTCACAATCACCCGACCTGGTAACAAAGCATGTTTTAAAGCGTAAGATTTCTGGAGTTAGAAATAAAACTCACTAGAGCAGTTTATGGTATGGGACAGAATCTGCTGTTTTGTGCCTGCTTAAACTGTTCAGAGTCCTCCTCTTATCCTACTCATATTTCTTATATTCATGGCCTTGAGTCATCACTGAGGGAGAAAAGGTGGGTCTGAGAAACTAGGAATCTACCCTGTGGATCAGAAAAGAACAGAAGATTATTCAGAAGTGGAACACAGGACATTTGGGTTAAAGATCTAAAGGGAAAAGATCTCTAAGGCTTAGTTGTAAGCAGGGGAAAAAAGTGTATTAATAACATGAACGAACATCTATGCACATGGATATACATGGGCAGGTTACTAGAAAGAGGCACAACAAAATATTGACTGTAGCTGGGTGTGGTGGTACCTGTAATCTCAACTACTCAGGAGGCTGAGGCAAGAGGATCACAAATTCAACAGTGTAGGCAACTTATTGAGGCTTTGTCTCAAAATAAAAAGGACTGGGGATGTGGCTGAATAGTAGAGCGCTTGCCTAGTGTGCTGGAGGTCTCAGCTTCTATCTCCCATACTGCAAAAACAAACAAACAATAAATAACAGCAATTACTTTTGAGAGGAGATAGTAGTACCAGGAGCAAGCCATGAAGTGAGCACCTCTCCTCCTCCATACCCTTGTATTTCATGAATCTTTATAAGTGTGTTGGTTTGAAAGTTGTGCAAGTCAAAAACCATAATTTAAACAGGGTTTAAAACCCAAGGGAAAGACAGAAAAATTACCTGACCTGTTTGGTCATGTGGGAAATTCTGTTAAGAGCGACCTACAGTTCTTCTGGAGGGCTTCAGAATGACTGTCAAAGGGACACACTGAAAATGGAACAAACAGAAGAAGAGGAAGAACAAGGAGGAGGAGGAGGAGGAGGGCTAGGGGGAGGGGGAGGGGGAGGGGGAGGAGGAGGAGGATAAAAAGGATAAAAAGGAAAAAAAAATCTGAAAGTGCAGGTAGATGAGTTATTTGTGTGCTGAGTTCAAAAATCAGAAAGAGTATGTGACCACTGTAAACCACTGTGCTCAGTCATGGAACATACTTATACAACTATAATGAAATGGAAATTCTACAAATTGAGTTAAAAACTGATCTTGGGCTGGGGTTGTGGCTCAGTGGTACAGCACTTGCCCAGCACATGATGAGGTGCTGAGTTTGGTCCTCAGCATCACGTAAAAATAAGTAAGTAAAAGAAAGGTATTGTGACCATCTACAACTAAAACAATATATATTAAAAACTGATCTTGCTGAGTGCAGTTGTGCAGGTCTGTAATCCCAGTGGCTTGGGAGGCTGAGGCAGGAGGATTGCAAGTTCAAAGCCAGTCTCAGCAACTTACTGAGGCATTTAGCAACTCAGCAAGACCCTGTCTCTAAATAAAATATGTATATTTTTTTTAAAAAAGGCAGGAAATGTGGCTCAGTGGTTAAGCACCCCTGGGTTCAATCCCCAGTACCAAAAACAAAACAAAAACCATGTGATATTATTCTGTGAGAAGTAATGGTGAGAGAGATGGTAAGGAAGAGTGCTAAACCTGGCTGTTGCTTTATAGCAATTTAGCAATTCCATTGATCATGTCTCAAGAGACAAGAGCAAAACTTTTGGTTTTGTATTTACATGATGCTAAGTAACAGGTGAATGTTTTAGATTGGCATATAGGTGGAGAGAGTCTAGGAGATGAAGCCAAGAAGAATGGCTGGCTTTTCAAGTGTTGTAACACCATGAGACTTTTTTTTTTTTTTTTTTTACCGTTTATGCTAACATGAGCCACCCTGACTCTGTATCTTTTCAGGTGATGTTGATAGGCCCCAACTTGACTGATCTGCGGAGGGATAGGAATGGTTGACCCTCTAGACATTAACACAGTAATACCCTCTCCAGACACATCCCTCATACAGAGCATTGTCCCACAAATCCTTGGAGACACCTGGAACCACAGAAGAAATAGATGCAGCATATAACATCCACATTTAAAGGTGGACTTGGATCTTTGTTGTTTCTTTCTTGTTGTATTTCCTATAAACTTCCCAACAAGATAAGTATCTTTTGTCTGGTCCAAGTTTCAAGCTGTAACCCCAAAAGTGCAAGAAACATTTTAACTATGTTTCTGCATCTGCACTAATTAGGGTGAATGGGGACGTAGAAACATGCCAAACATGTCATGGCTCCCCAGGATAGTTTATTTTCTGCTTAACTGGCTCAAGGTGGCTGGAAGAAGAGCAACTAATCCTAAAATAAATCAGGAACTCAAGCCAGTGAGGTCTCTGCCACCTGTATAACATGTGGCCTTTAAATCACCTTAGGTGGCTGGGCGTGGTGGCACATGCCAGTGGCTTGGGAGGCTGAAGCAGGAGGATCATGAGTTGAAACCCAACCTCAGCAATGACGAGGCATTAAACAACTCAGTGAGACTCTATCTCTAAATAAAGTACAAAATAGGGCTGGGGATGTGGCTCAGTGGCTGAGTGTCCCTGAGTTCAATCCCAGTACCAAATAAATAATTAAATAATAAAAAATTAAAATCACCCTAGGTTTTACTTGCCCAGATGGCAAGGGGAGGAAGAGAATGGAGGAGTGTCCAGGGGAGGTATTTAAAGGCCAGTCTCATTTATGGAACAAACTAGTTGCTTCTGCTCACATTCCACAGGACCGCAGACAGCCCTCATGGCCACACATGGGAACCTATGAGGTGTGGCTGAGGGCTCCCATTTAGAAAAAGCTTTGGGGATTTGGAGAAGAGTTGACTGTCTCTTCCACAACAACTCAGTTTCTACTTATGGACCTCATTGCTGTGGTGATAGAAACTTCTTTCTGCTGAATCTAGGGTTTCTGTGTCTAAATTTGGGCTTACCCATGAAGCCAGGGCACCAAAAGCAGCCCCTGGACATCTCTTGTCCTTGGTATCGGTCTAGATCCCTGATTGTATTTGCTGGGGATGGCTCCTCTGCTATCCCCAGTTCCTCTTTGGTAATCATCTCCTGTCCTGCCACTTGAAATTCCTATGAATCCACCTTCTCTTTATCAGGTTGGGGTTCAGGATACCCCACTTGTCTGAGTCCATTTCTTCCTAGACCTCCATATTGCATATATCTTCCTTGAGATCTTGCAGCCTCTCTAGGCCTTATCTGAGATGAGGGAATATAGGTAGCATCTGAGGTCTCTGACATCCTTCTTCATGCGACACAGTCTGCAGAGAACTTTTTATGGGTATGCTGACTTTAATATCTCTCTACTTCTCCCCTTCTATGAATGAGGAACCAGTTACCTTTCCAGATTGGGAGAGAGGTCATCTTCATCAGCTAATCTGTAAAATCTATTTTGATTCCTCGAGGGCCTTCTATTTTTTTTTTTCTAAGAGTTTGACTTTTGGATCTCAAAGGCCAGAATAAGATCGTTTTCTTATCCCTGCTTTGAGACACTAAAAACCTACCATCCCAGGTTGAATGGAAAAAGACTTAATGAGAATAAATATTTATTCACATTTCTAAATATCATTTTACTTTGGCAATATTATAGCTGTTTTACAGACAAAGGATCCAGGCCCAAGAAAAGTATTTTTTCCAAGTATATACAGTTTTTAAATGTCAGGGGGGTTATGAACTTCCATCTGCCCTATTTTCATGTCCCTGGACTTCACCATTAGGGCTTTCTGATTTTCACAGGGTCTAGGAAATACATACCCCAGCAAAATATAGATCTGGGACCCCACAAACCCACACAAATACACATGAAGGTAGAACATTCCCTTTAATTTTATTGGTTTAAATAAAAAATTTTTCTGTAAGCATATCCCAGAGTCAAGGAAGAAGATCTAGGACATGAAGTGTGGAGCCCTAAGGTGGATGAAGACAGCTCTGGAAGCCGGGTCTGCTTAAGTAGTACAGACAGGTGACCTAGATGTTGTCGGGCTGCTGGGATGCTTGGATGTTGAGTTCCTTGGCTGGTGGGTTTCTTGGCTAGGGGATGTCTCGGCTATTGATTTTCTTGCCTGATAGCTGTTTAGTCTCTTTGTGGGTTGGTCTGTTGGGGAGTAGACGTCGGGGGATGCTGCTCCTGGTCCTCATATATATAGAAAAAGTATATAAATGATGGCCAAACCACCGAGTATGGAGAACACAGATAGCCAACCAGTTTTGCGTGAGCTTTTGTAAGCCTGTTCCCATTCGCTGTTGCGATTAGCCAGTATGATCTGTAAGGGCGACAGCATAGTGGTCAGTTTCTGAACCAAGAAACTCTGAGCTCAGAAACCTTTGGTAGAAGGGTTGAAGCCCTCCCACCATCGAGGGAAAACCACCTCCCAGGTCTCAGGACTGGAGCAGATGTAGGGGTCAGGCAGAGGATAGGATGGCCATGTCTTTATTTTACCTTTTTTCTCTCCTTGAAAGCTAGAAGTCCCAAGGGAAGGCAAAGCAATATACCCAAAACGACCAAACATAGGTGGTTCGGAGCATAAAATGCCAGTTCTTCCGGCGACTGTGGTTTAGCATTTTCGGCTGGTGGGGGCTTAGGTTTGGGGACCATGATCTTTCCGCTCAGGTAAAGGCAGACGCTGAATTTCTTGGGAACAGACCTTGACCCACGCCAACTCCTCTTGCTTCACTGGGACTCCCAGGACCCAGACCCGTCAAAGGCTAGTTCTTCATAATGGAGAAAGCAGCGCCTCAGATCCTGATTGGCTGTCCTCATGAGGAGGCGTGGTCTCACTGGGACTCCGGGGCCTCCGCAGGAAGCTCTTCCCCTTTCAGGCATTGACCCCACCCACTCGGGTAGGGATTGGTTGGAAGTTTGCTTCGTGGCTCTTCCTCCCTCCCGCATCCCCTACATCTGCAGATGGAGCTAGTAGGCAGGAGCAGGAAGGCCTCCTGAGAGTAGCAGGAGAGAGCAGAGTAAATGAGCCCAGGAAGAAACAGGAGGGAAAGTGAATGATGTCAGTAATGGATGATGAAGTATTGAATTAAAATAAAATACTTTGTACTGTTTTGTCCAAACTGACAGGAAGAAAGAACAGAGAAAGAAGATGAAAAATGAGAAGGCCTTTCTTAAGAGGACCACCTAATAAATATACATGGGATGATAGAATAGGAAATCCGCACTGTGGTAGGTAGACTTCAGAGATGGCCTCGGAATTCCCTCCCTGATATAAACATGCCTTTCCCCCTATTATTTAATCCAGTACTGATCTGTTTGCTGTAGTGAAGGAATTTTGCAGATATAATTAAGGTCCCAATTCCGTTAACCTTAAATTAGAATATCCTCTGCTGCGCCCCTCCCCTGACTCAGGCAAAGGCAAGGCCCTACTGAGATGAATGGCGCAAGGCGTCCATCCTCTGGAGGATCGCAGTATGTTTCTGGGAATGGGCTGCTTTGTTTTGGTATTCCTTTAATAGTGTAGTTTCGACTTCTCATATGACCATTAAGTATGAAGGAAAAAACATGACTTTCCCAATAATGAAACTATTTTTAAAGCATAGATCTGTTTGCTCTAAATGCAATGATTCAGCTGTGGAACGTAAATCGTTAACGTTTAATGAAAAAACCCCTGTAGGAAAAACAGTCAAGGAAGTTTTTGAGAAATTAAAATATAGAGAAGAAGAATTAATGTTAAGAAGACAGATTAGTGCTTAGTACTGGGCAACTTGTTCTTGTTCCTGTGCACAATGGTTTGTGCTCTTGCTCTTGTTTTGCTTTGATTAAAATTAGTAGCCTCTCTTTTCAAGTTAACCCCTTGCCTTAACCATGGCGCCAATTCTAGTCAGTAAGTCAAGAAAGAATTGTCAAGGTATAGGCCAATAGTCTGGGACATTTCTAATTATTATTAAAAGCTAACTAAGCAGAAGCAGCTCAAAGCAAAATGAGAACTGAAAGTAAAAATGCTTGCTTTTGCATAAGCCAAGATACATTCTTCTTATCTAATTGTAGCTACGTAATATTTTGTTTCTTTGAATAATGATTCCTGTTTTGTAACCACAAAGTACTGTGAGCCTGCCAAAATGAAAAGGATATATGATTAACTTCACAAGTAAAGGTTGGGATTCAGCACCTTCACTTTTGTGTCTGTATTGTTTCTCCGCCTTTCCCTGACTCCTCACCATCTGTTAGTCTCCTGAGACCCCCTGTTGGACCTGGACTCCGACAATCCTCAGTGGGTCTAACCTAATCAGGTGAGTTCTTAAAAGGGACTTAGTCTTACTGGTAAAAGAGGTTGAAGGTAGGAGAGTATTGGAGTCTCTGTTTTTGACTTAAAAATGTAAGGGATGGGCTGGGGATATGGCTCAGTTGGTAGAGTGCTTGCCTTGCAGGCACAAGACCCTGGGTTCAATTCCCAGCAGGGTGGGGGGGAATCCCCAGGGGGTGGGGGGGTGGGAGTAATCATCCCTGTGGAAAGGAATGCAGGCAGCCTTTAGCTGAGGGCAGTTTTCCAGCCAGCTAGGGAACAGGTCCAACAACAGTAAGGATCTGAATTCTGCATTTGAAACAGAACTCTGAGCTTTATGTGAGAACCAGCCTAGCTGACACCTTAATTTTAGCCTTGTGAGGTCCTGAGCAGAGAAAAGGCCATTCAAAATTGTGAGTTAATACCTGTATCATTAGAAAATTAACTGCAATTTTCAAACACCACAGTAATTAATTATTCAGGTCAACCATCGGTGGATGCTCATATAGTACCACTGGGTTTTAGCTGGTGGAGTTAGGGAGTGGAGGGTGTGAGGTGCCAGTTTGCAGGGAGTTGCAAGTGGGTGGGAAGTGCCATGGTGAAGTTCACAAATGTAGACCCCAATATGGTTTATAAAGTGTTGTCACGGTTTGTATTTAAGCCCAGTCAAGGACCTAGAAACAGTAATAACAAGTGACAATACACATATCCAGAAGTCAGGACATGCTTCGTGGAATGAATTGATTCAGAATATTTCAAGGGGCTAAGTGCATATTCCAGAATAAAAAATATGAGGCCTGTGGTGGGAGAGGACAGAAGTCAAGATTGAATGTGGATAGGTTTCTGGCAGTTCCCTTGGGTGGTGACAACCTTGTAATAAAAGATTGTGTGTGGTATCTCTTGACTAGAGTCCCTTATTTGAGGTGGCTTTTGGATGGTAAATTATCTGGGCTCTGTGTTCCTGGGATCATGTATCACTTTTCAGGTGAATTTCATGACTGGTGTGTTCCTTGGCTGAAGGGCTGCCTTGTTTATGAGAAACAATGTAGAAATTACATATATGTGCAGTGTCACAGCAGGCAAACTCAGGCGTAGCATTTGTCAAGAGTGACTCCTTGCTATGTCAGTACTTCTCAGTTGTCTTTCCTTAACTAATGGGAATAGAGTTAGAAGAAATGGCTTCATAGAGTGAATTGAAGGAATTAATTTCAGTTTTTACGAAGGTTACAGAGCCAAGATATCTTCCACCTCAAATGCTCAATTCTGGGTAGAAGTAGATGCAGGGGTGGGTATGGATATGCTGGATGTCAGGAACTGAGCAGTAGAGACAGTGCCCAATCTTCATCATAGACAAGATTATCAAGGGGAAATTATGATGGCTATAGCTATAGGACGGATCGGATGAATACCTTCAACTCTGCATTTCTTGCTTCCTGAACTTTGGCTTCTCCTACTTTCTGTTTTACTCCCTACCCCCACCTTTTGTCCTTCTTTCTCTGCGTCATAGCCTTCTTGGCTTGGATAGTTGGGTTTTGATTTCCAGGAAGTAAAGGATTTGGCCAGTGTCTTTAAGCATAAAAGAACAAGGATGCCTCCTTCTGACTGATGGTCTGTGTATAAGTCTAATAGCATCACCAATTTTTTCATAATTGAGATAGTCAAACCCTGCAAAGACAGTTTCTCTTCAAACATTGAACCTGCTGGTGCCTTGACTTTGACCTTCCCACCCTCCAGAACCATGAGAAATAAATTTCTATTATTTATAAGTTACTCAGTCTTAGGTATTTTGTTATAGTAGTGCTAAAGAAAAACTGGATAAACCAGCAAAACCCGAGCCATAGAGAACTTGGTAGGGCAGGACGCCCAGGGTCTCGTGGGGGTCTAAGTGGGGGATGTTAGCTTCTTAAGCTCTAGAGTCTATCTCATCCAGGTGAGGATAACTGACTGGCCTGAGTGTTAGAGGCAATTCAGGGGTAAAAGCCTTCTTCCACAGCACTCCCAGAAATGATGTTAGCCTCTGAGTAAATCCAGAACTTTCCAGTCCAAACTAAAAAAGGGTTATGTTCTATGTGCTACTGAAAAATCAAAATTTAGTAAAAGAACAGTCTTAATAACCAAGTTCCAGAATGAGAGGGACACAGCTTTTTTTTTTTTTTTTTTTAGTTGTTCAAAACATTACAAAGCTCTTGACATATAAGGGACACAGCTTTGAAAAGCACCATTTCAGCAGAAGATGCATGGGCATGTGCAATAGAATGTTGTCAGAAAATATCAAAGGGATCCAACACACTGCAGCTGACCCTTCTGCTTCATCTTGATGCTGCTCTAAAGCCACAGTCAGGAAGCTTCTTGATCCAGCTCCTTTGGGACTGACATAGTGCTCTGCGAGCGTATCCAGGTGCCTGTCAAAGTCCTCCACTCTCTGCTTGTGGGTTTTGAAAGCTCTCTTCAGGATCCTTTTTATTTGCTGCTTCTCTCTCTCTCTTTTTTTTAAGGTGTTGGGGAAACTCAATATCCCATTTCTTCTTCTTTTTTTACCCCCCAGATTTGGAGTTGCTTTATTCCTTTTTTGTTTGTTTGATCTTGGATTCACATGACAGTAGGATGTATTTTGACATATTATACATACAGTGCAAGCTGTTGCAATTTTGATCCCATTCTAATGGTTAAGCATGATGTGGCGTTACCCTGGTCATGTATTCATGACAAGTGTAGGAGCCTCGTGTCTGATTCATTCTGCTGATTTCCTATTCCACCCCCTTCCCTTGTTCCCTTTGTCTAATCCAGTGAACTTCTGTTCTCCCCCTCCCTCCCTTGTTCTGGGTCAGCATCCACACATCAGGGAGAACCTCCTGCTTCCCTCCTGGCTGGGGTGGGCCAACCCAGGCAGTGCTGCTTCTCGTCCTTGTTTTGTGGGTTCCCATTGCTTTCAGGAGTTTCATCTTTTCTTTGTCTTTTCCTCCTTCTGCTTGGTCGTGGCAAGCTCTGAGACACCTTTCAGCTTCAGCTTCCAGGGTCCCTCATGGACATGTCACAGGCCTCCATGGTGCCCTCCTTCAGTTAGGTGGGTGGAGGGCCCTTCCCTTCCTTCCTGAGTGTTTTGGCTGGGCATGTAACTTTAGATTGGCAGTTAATTTAATTTTTTTTCAGAACTTTGAATATATCATGTTGCCCTCTTCTGAGCTTCATTTTGTTGCTGTTTAGAAGTCAGCCATCAGTCTGTCACTCTATTGAAGGGGCTTCTTATAAATATTTTTCTCTTTTTTTTGTTTGTTTTTTGAAATTTCCTGTGTATTTATTGGCAGTGCCAAAGATCAAACCTTTGCCTTGCACAGATGAGCCAGCCTTCTACCCCTGAGCTACATCCGGCCTCTAAAATATATTTAGAGTATTTGAGCTTCACTGGGCTTCTTAAATTAGTTGGTGGATTAATCTCAGTCATCTTTTCTGGAAAATTCTTTGGCACTATTTTTCCAAATGCTTCCTCTACACCATTCTTTTCTCTTTTGTTAGGAGTCTAGTCACACATGTGACAGAACTTCTTCCGTATTCTTTTTTTCCCTTTCTAGTCTGAAGTCTGTTTTATTTTTTTCTGACCCATCTTTCATTTACTATTTCTCTT